TTATTGTTCTAAAAAGAATCAAGGTGTTAAGTTTGCAAAACGGATCAAAACGGAGCCAAAGACAAAAGACTGTCTTCGGGACGGTCGACCGCCACCACGGACAGTGGACCGTTTCCCTTGGCCGTCCGACGGACACCACCGTGATGGTCGACCGCCGGCAGCGACGGTGGACCTTTTGTGTCCCAGACCCATACCGTAGCCCACGGTCGACCGCCGGTAGGGTACGGTCGACCGTTCCGCGGGCAGAACTCTGGGCTGATTGTAAAACGAGCCTTGTTGACCACATTGACCCAGAATCTGATTGTATGTTTGCATGAAATGTTAATCTTCATAATGTATGCTATTTAATTGATATATTCTTGGCATTGACCAAAGGTAAATATATCAAGCATTCATCATGTTCATCCTAGACGCATGTCCTAGTATAGGTTTATCATCATGTGCATACCGCTGTAGGGAGGTCAGGCTTTCGTGCGCCTAGTACAGTGGGCCTGTCCAGGAACCCTTGGAATCCAACGGGTTTTCATAATGAGGGCTTTGTGTACGTACATGGTAGTCAAGCTACGGCTATCACCCAGTTTTGCTAGTTCACTTGCGACATTTTCGTCGAGCCCGGCTCATTACCGGAGTGCAAGGGTGATCCTGTCAAGTGAGACTAAGCCAGGGGTGTCCCTGATAGTTTAAGTCATGCATCAAGTCATATCGTCATCATGTATGTTCCACGTCACATCAACATCCAATGTGGTGGTCATTCATTTTGTTATGTGTATTAGTACCCATCAGGTGCAAATCGAATAGTTAGTAAACATGCGGTTTTCCCGTACGTTAAGTACATGTATTAATATGTGTATAACCATATGGGTTATCACTTAATGTTCTTTTGTTAGATTCACTCCTTAGCTTTTGCTGAGCGTGTAGTTATTTTTGCTACACGCAAGTAGACATGACGGTACAGGTGGAGGACAGTGATGATGAGAAGATGGGCGGCGCACGGACGAGTTTAATAATTATAATCATTTGAATTAATTAATCATTTGGGCATGAACCCATCATATGTCGTTTTACTTATTTTGGACTTATTTATTTACTTCCGCTTTACTCTGCATTTATATCACACACGTTTTGGGGATAACTCCCTAGCATTTATTTCACCAATTAAACACAACCGTTTTCATAATAAATAGACATTAATGTTCTCTACTCTACGGAAGGTTCTCAGACCGCCCATGTAACCCTATCGGTCCGTTGGGTCGCGGGTGAACCGGGTCCACAGAAGGCGGGTGTTACAATATATCAGTAAAGAGATCGAAAATAATATTAGTATTACCCAAGATACGAAATATAAGTAAGGCGATGAATAATATACTCGTGATCATAATTTAAAAATTTAGTATTATTTAGGATTGTTTCTTAATAAGATTTTCCATAAATTTTATTAATGGCCATATAAGTAAGGTGATCAATAATATATATATATATATATATATATATATACTCATGGAAGTAAGACAAATAAGGAATCAAAAATAGTATTGGAATTTCTTTTAGTATAGGTACTTTATTGATTTCAATCTATATATACACGAATTTCCATTAATAAATTAGTGTTACTTATTAATTTAAGTATGAACTTTATAAATATGGAAGTAAGATAAAGGATTAATATATGAAGCATGGTTCTAAAATTCTATTTAAGTTAAATGAAAATTATTATATTTCTTTTTTAAATAGTATTTATATTTTTTTCGTATTTATTTTTAATTATTTATATTGTCCTCATAATAGGAGTTCGTATTGTTGTAATCTAAAAACATATATTAACATATAATATTATTGATTATCCAAGACACATAGTTAAGGATTTCCATATTAGTATTGATGCCCTAAACCCTAAATGGATCCAAAATAATATTAGTATTATCCAACATATATAATATACCCTAAACCCTAAACCCTAAACCCTAAACGGATCCAAAATAATATTAGTATTATCTAACATACATAATATAAGTAAGGTGGTGAGTAATATACTCGTGATCATCATTTTCAAATTTAATATTATTTAGGATTTTTTCTTAATAATCTTTTTTGTAAAAAATAATATTCTAATTTCCATTAACATAGGTACTCTATTGATTTTAACTCTTATTATACACAAATTTCCATAATAAACCTTTGTACCTTATAAATTTAAGTATGTAATTTTTAAATATGGAAGTAAGATAAAGGATTAATATATGTAGCATGGTCCTAAAATTCTATTAAAATTAAATGAAAAATATTATATTTATTTTTTAAATAGTATTTATATTTGTTCATATTTATTTTTAATTATTTTATAGTATCATCATAATAGGAGTTTGTATATATTGATGTAATCTGAAGGAAAAAATTTTGTTGAAGGCTACTGATTATCGCGTAGAAAATTTGCGGCCAATTGTTTCTAACGAGAGATCCGCTGGTGTATCGTATATAATTTATTTCCGCTGGTTTACTCAGATATTACGTGGCGTGCTGACATGTTTAAATTTTGCCACACAAACATGTCAAATGTCAAATTTCTGTGCATCCGAGTCTCCTTTATTATATTAAAGGATTATAGACTTAAAGGCAATGCATAAAAAATCCATAGAAGTCAATGATGACTCAATGATGACATGACTCTTGAGGTGTTTAAAAAATGTTCAGTCAGCGTGCCAAATGTCGTCATTCTAGAAGCTCAACTCTCAAATTTTATATATAAATATATTGGCACGATTGGCATTGTATATGCGTTTTAACTCATATTTTAAAAAATAAAAATATGAAAGTCCTATTTTAGTATATTTTCATGGTTTACCCTTACTTTAATCTTTTTCCCATCTCTTTTACACAAATTTCAAGTATACATATTTTTTCTTTAAACACTTTGCGGCCACTTAATGCTTACTTAATACTCCCGTTGTCTCAAATTAAATTGCATGTAACAATTCAAAGAGTCAATTTTATTCATTTTCATTCCTTATTTTTGTTATTCATTTGATAAAATAATATATTCATGTCATCTCTGTTTCGTAGAGCTTTTGATGTAGTTTTATGTAAATTTTGAAATATGTAAATTTTATTATACTATTTCATTCTAATTCTCAAATGAATTATATTGAAAATAATTTTAATAAAATATCATAAACCAAAACAACTGGTTTAAATTAAGATAGAGAAAGTACAAAAAATCTAACAATTCCCCACATTAATGAAAAAATAGATTTAGGGCTTGACAATGTCCCTTGCTTGAAAGCCTACAAAGGAGGGCTAGGTGTCTCCACCTTTGAACTTGTTTTTGTAAGGTATAGATTATTTACTAATTATTAAGTAGTACACAACGTCTTTGAAGTGTAATCTTGTTTGTGTAAATGATAGGATACCATACATGGGTTCTAACTAAACATTGTTTCGGTATCATGGTTGTTCCTATTTTGGTCCTAAGAAAAATGCCTAGTTTTGCAAGAGTGTTTAGAGGATCAAGCTCTAAATCCTCTATTTGAAGCTACCACACTTCACTCTTACATAAATGATTTTTCTAAGAGTATCCTGATTACACCACTTGGACTAACATGTCAAACGTTCAACAATCATTAAAGCATGTAACTTATGTTATCCTCACCATTTCCAAAAGCCGCTTTCTTAAGCAGGAAAGGAAAAGATTGGCTGGAACATTGGCACCACCCTCAGGGCGGAGGAAGGGGGCATGCTAGGGCACGTGCCCCAGCGAAAATCGAGCGAAGGGCCCTTATCCCGCGATGGTATGTTGTGCCCCCTGCGAACGTTCATCATGTTCATAAGCTTTTCTGATACTCTTCTTTGTAATTGAGGATTGAAGTTTCTATGTTTTTTCTCTTTTTATTCTAAACGGCATCCGCATCGTTTTCCTTTTAAAAAGTAGAAACCATCATCGGTTCCTCCATCCTTGCCCTTTCGTTTAACCCCCTCAAATTCGTTTAGGTCTCGTTTGGTACATGGAATTCAAACTATGAAATTGGAATTGGGGACTTCAATTCCAATTCCACCAATTCCGTATACCAAACAGACCCTTAAAAGATTTATCTATCATGCCTTTTTGGAAGCTATTTAATGCTTTAATTATTTTGGAGTAATTTGTTAAGTATTGGTTGACTTGTTTCCATGTACTTTGTAAGATTTTTTTTATTTTTTGATGCTTTTTTCATCCATTTAAATTGTTTATTTACTATTTACAAGGTCAGGTGCGGTTGAATTTGACTCATATTTAGCAGGTTATTTCGGGTTTGGTCAACAAAATCTTTGTTCAAAACCCAATGTTCTCGGATTAAGTTTCGAGTCAAAGTCAGATTGGGTCATTTTTTGCCAGGTTTATCCAAAACTATTAAACCTAGAGATGCCAATTCAACCCGAACTTGATCTTAATCGATCCGACCCAACACTAAAATATTTGAATCCAAACCGAGAATAAAATAATCTGAACCCAACATCAGGTTGGGTCGGGTGTGGATTTATAATTTTACCCGACTCGAATCCAACCTGACCCAAACCGAACCCGAATATTTATAACATAAAACTCTACATACAGACATAATCAACACTCGGTATAGTCTCTTTTTTTAATTCTCAAGTGCAACAACATCTCTCTCTTGGTTCTTACATTGCATTCCCGTGTGTTTTCCATTCTTGTATGGTTCTTCCTTCTTTGCATCTCTGATCTGTTTACTGTTTTTTTCGTATTTCTAGCCACTCAATTGTCTTGACAAGGTGCTATCATATATAATTATTTTTATAATTTCTCAATCACAAAATGAGATACAAAAAAAGAGAGAAAAAAGAATTTATATTTATTCTTTTTAAAATTTTTGCGGTACGTCGATTGGTTATTACTTAAATTATAGATTCGGGTTCAGGTTTGGATTGAGTTTGGGTTTGGGTTTGGGTGGGATTTGGGTTTCGGATTTAAAAGTCTAGTCAAGTACACTACTATCCTACCCGAACCAGACCAGTTGTCAAATGAACCAAGCATTATTCATGAACCAAATACCCCTTTTTCTTCCTCCAACGAAACCCACCCTACCCTTACCTCAAGTGCCCAGTATCCACTGCGACCAGGAACTTTGCGCTTAGATTGTCTTTCCAGTCGCATTTGGGAGAATTCGTCGTAGTGCTGTAAAGGAGAAATTGTCTTGCTCTCTTCCCCAGTGTTTCGATCAGCGTTTTAATTTGTATGCCTCTGAATAAATTATATTTGTGCTTTTTGCTTCTCTAATTTCTGTTATAATTGCGATTTTGATTCAGTTTTCTTTGGATTCGACATTTGAAATCCTTCATGTTCTGTAGTAAGAGTTTGAAAGTATATTATCGTAATTATTATTTCTTTTAATAAAGATTTCTTATCTTATGATTTCCATTGCGTCGTTGAGAAATTGTATGAAATTTTGTTTCAATAGATTATTTTGAGTAAACTAGTGGGCTTGTATTGAGGATGGCTTTTCTTTTTTCCTTTCGCTGAGATATCTTATTGTAGAAATTTGGCAGTGTTTGATACTGTTTTCTCTTACTCTCTGATTTCTAGTCAGTATTCTGTTGAATCCGAGATTGATGGGTACCATCATTTAGATGTCTCATCTGTAGCAGAGGTGGTGTGCAGTTTGGGAGACATCAATTCTGGCTTGTTCTTGGTTACTTTTGAGCTGATAAAAGTTGTGTGTATAGTTATTGCAAAGTTGCACCTAATTGGGTGGTGTTGGGGCTGGTATATCCGAGGTACTCGACCTTGGTTCCAAGTAAATGGGATTCATAGTTAGTTAAGAGTACATTTATTTGTGCCATAAATTTAGCATTGTTTCTGCCTTATATCATACAGTATACATAATGTTTCTTTCTAGGATATGTCATTTCAATTACTAATGCTGTTTCTTTTTTAAGTATAGACTTGTCTTAATTCTCAATTTTCCATGTTTGTTCTTTATATATGTACAGGTGGTACAGCTTTACCTTATCTCATTTCAAAGCCAGCAATGGCAGAAAAAGCATGTGTGAAACGCTTGCAGAAGGAGTACAGAGCACTCTGTAAAGTAAGAAGATGTCTTTAACTTCTAAAATTTTTATACTTCACTTGTGAGGGAACAATAATTATATCTATTCTCTTGGAAATATAATAGATCAGTGTTGAAGTTTCAATTCAAGTATTTTTGTTTGACTTGTTTCATTTGATATAGTCACATGAAATTAACTGTTAATATCATTGCTGTGAGAATAGAATTAGGCACCAGTTGGTTATCTTCGGATGCAATGCTGTTATAATCCCCAGGCTAGGTGGATAATCAAGTGTGCCAGGTGGAAGTAAACTAGACTGCCTATTTCTATGTGTTGATATTCCACCAGTAAGCTTGGGACCCCTTAGTGATTCCTTCAACACTAATTAATACTACGTATATCCAGTTGCTTAAGTTTGTTAAGATGTTAATGTGGAGTATTTTGTTATTGGATTTTATGTTTCAGATTTTGGAAATCAATGCAGTTATTATTTTGCTGTGGCTTTTAGGCTGTATACAGTAAACTGTACTAGACATAGTTCTGCATTCTCTGTCTGGAAATGGAAACCAGCATCAATCTTTAAGTTGTCATTCAAAATAGGGTTGGAAATCTGATTGAAAATTTGAGTGTGTTATAAATTGTGCAGGAACCTGTTTCAAATATTGTTGCCCGTCCTTCTCCAAATAACATTCTTGAGTGGCGTAAGTTACTGATTTTGCTCATTTTTCCTTCTCTATTGTTCTGACGCTTTATACTGTAATACCTTTTAGGTATTTTTCGGATACATTTTAATCTTTCGTTCATAATCTGGCACATTATATTTTATGTAATTTTTCAATTAAAAATTCCCCACTAACAGATTATGTACTGGAAGGGAGTGAAGGAACACCTTTTGCAGGTTCGTGGGGTTCTTTTGTTGGGTGAACTAATACTATTTTCAAACTGAAATCATCTTAAACCAACTTTCTGCCTAATGTTTTTGCCTAACTTTTGAACTATTGTTTTGCCTTGTTCTCCATAAAATGTTAATCACATCCAGGTGGGTATTATTATGGGAGGATCAAGTTTCCTCCTGAATATCCGTATAAACCTCCAGGGATCAGGTAATCAGAGCTTTGATCATCACCTAAGAATTTTTAAAAATGTTGCTTTATTGAACTCGTGTATTGCTACTAGATTTATCGTTTTCAAACTTGACTGACTAGTATTGCTTTCCTCCCTTGAAGGATGACCACTCCAAATGGACGATTCTTAACAGATTCAAAAATATGCCTCTCTATGAGTGACTGTAAGCTGTTTTAAGTTACTTTGACTTGTGAATTATCGTGATTATGTCTTTAGAATGCTCACTTTTGTGGGATTGTGATACTTGTCAGTCCATCCAGAGAGTTGGAACCCTATGTGGTCAGTCTCAAGGTAAGGATCAAACTATGTTATTATTTGATACTCCCTCCGTCCGGAATTAAACTTCCCGGTTTGACTTTTCCTTATTTTTAGTGGGTGTTGACTCTCATATTGAAATGTCTAAACTACCCTTACTGGTATCACCATCCCTGCCCAGCCCACTGCCGACCACCACAATCCCTGCCCAGTCCATGCCGCCCACCACCATCTTTGCCGAGCCCACCGCTGCTGACCGCCGCCCACCACCATCTCTGCCCAGCCCAC